ATAATTCTTTTTGAACTTGTCGGTATGATATCACTGGATAGAAATTATTACCGAGATGTAACAAATGTATTATTTGTTTTGCCTGGGTTGTATTTAAATCTACTTAAAACTGAGGAAATATAGCAATTTTTGGGCAAAGAATTTTCGACGTACGAGGCACGTCATTCCAGCGCAAGAGGTTAACGCCTGCTTCGCGCCTCTATGGCTCGAGATTATAAAAAGCGCAGCTCTTGTGAAATATTCCGCGCGCAGCGGCGAGAGCACTGTACTACAGCGACAACCACTCGAGGACATTCAAAATTTTATGGAGGAATTAGCAACGAGGCCGTCGCCGCCAGGGCTAATCCAGCAACCGTAGAAACTATCCGAGCGACAGATTCTCGATCAATAAAGTCGCACGCTGCCGCAGTCGACGAGAATGTTCCACAGTGTGCGAGAAACCAGCTGTGTCCGCCTTCTCGGATTGTTTGTCGTTTGTCCTTCGTCTGCTCTGTCGGTTGAGAAGTTGTCCGCGTTGATCGAGGATGCGTCGATCGGTAGACGAGCGTATCGAGTAACTGAACACGCTTGAAAATCGTAACTCACGCCCGAACGAGCGTGCATTAAGCTCGATTAGCTCGGGTACGCGGAAACACGCTCGCGGAGCGCAAGGAATGCGCTTTCGGCACGAGTGGTCTCGACTCTGATGAAGCACTTCCTGCGCTCGAGCGTGCGATTATTCGCGAAACAAATCGTCAAAGCTGCACGACGCAGCTAGCAAACTGCCCTCGCGAATTCCCACCAACGGGAATTTGTAGTCCAGAATTTTGTTCGAAACTTTATCGATCCTCTCGCGACGTGAACGAGCTCACCGGTAACGCGCAAACGTTGGTTTTTCCATGTGAACTCCATGATGCTTCGCATGAAGTATGGGCGGAAAAATTTTTGCGCAAGTAGCGTAATATTATATATAGATAGATAGAAATTAAAAGCGACTTTATCATACAGGGTGGGGCAAAAGTTTCTTTCCATTTTTTTTTTTTTTTTAATAAAACATCAAAATATAAGAAAAAAATTAATTGTAACATATGGTGAAAAGGACCGATATATCATTATACTTCGATGCTCGTCCTTTCTTTTAAATAATATTAGAAGGAAAATATGGAAAAATCAAATCTTTTGCACACCGCTGTGTATATTATACTTCGGTGCTCGTCGAAACGGAACGAAAACCGAACGAACGGTTCTCTTCGGTGGAGCAGGAACTTCGTGCAGAAATTTCATTTATACAGAGAGAGCGAAGCTTGACCGGCACACGGGCAATCGTTCTCTGTTAGCAGCTGGTTCACCGTTACCGCTCGAAGAGGACGAGCGTGAAGCTCGCGCGAGATAAGTCGCTGTCCATCCGAGTAATGTCTGCCAGCGGTTACACATAAACGCGTAAACATGAACGCAACTCTCGACTTGTGAAACGCCGATCATCTTGGAGAGATCTCTTCCTCTGTTTATAATATGCTTCTATTAGGGTGACTCATGAGTTCGTGCGTTTTTTTTTTTCTTCTTAAAACTTCAAAGATGTCGGTAAGAGAAACTAGCGAACCTTACTCTTCGAAGTAAGTCTTGGATTTTGTTTCTTCATCTTTTCGGATGAAGCGTTGCAGTAAAACACGCTTTTTGTTAATTAAATATTAATTAGTGCCCTTAAAATTCCACCAAACATATAGCATTGCCTTGTCTCGTTCTTTAACCACCGATTTTACTTATCTGGATTAGTGAAGTAGATCCACTTCTCATCGCTCGTTACAACTCGACGGATAAAAAGTTTTCCAACAATGTTTGACGAATTTTTGTCGGTAAGTTTCTGCAAATTACCTCGAGACGTCGTCTACTGATCTTATCGATGCCATAGTGAAGATTGTGAAAGTTCAAGTTCAGCGGATAATTTTCCATCGATTTAAAATCCACAGCTTCAAACTTCCATAAAACTTCCACGAGAGTATGTTATCGATCTTCGACGCTGATTCCTCCGGCACTGAATTTCTCTAATCTCATTTTTACACAGCACGAATTGAAACTTCAACTTCGCATATTTTCCTCGCCGCTTTGAAGTTTCGTTTCTGTCCTAAAAGTTAGGTCCTAAAGGCATACGAATTTTAAAGTTTTTTATATTTCTTATAATATAACCTCTCATATATTTCTTATAACGTAACCTCTTATGTACAATATTTCTTATAATGTAACCTCCAATCGGTAAAACAAAACACTTCAATACCCACAGCACCACGTGCCACGCAGGACAATTGAATAATTTTATTCGTCTTCAAAGTCAATACGAGAGAAATATGAAAGATATACGGGAAAAAAAATGCACGAACTTTATGACTCACCCTGCTAACTGTTTCCTCTCATCGTTCGTTCGTTCGTTCGTTCTTGCAAACGTTAGATTCCATATTAGTTTTGATCGGCAACGATATTTAAAAGGGCAGTCGGATTCGGGTCGTTGCATTTCCGCTCGAGGTGTATTTCTATCGTTATTACGAAGACATCGTGCAACATCGGGACGTAATTTGTTACGTAGAGCGGTGGCGCGGTCGCGCACACGAGAGCACACGCGTGTACCGCTGGAAATATGATTCGATACGCGCGAGGTTCAACATAACCTTCAAATTCACTGGATTCTTTCGCCGTGAAACAAGCTTGAAAATTTCCTCCAGTAATCGCTGTAAACGCAGGTATCCGTATCAAAGGAAGGAAAAACTTATTCAGTGACGAGCGGAACTGAATACATACGTGAAATCTTGACATACATAATATTTCATCGAGCTCCTGCATGCAAGAAAGCAGAATGTGTACTGTCTTGCAAAATGTTTCAGCCTTCAAAAAGAAAATTGTTCTTCGTGAAGTCAGTTTTGCATCGCAGTAATTAGTTGAGATGAAAAATTGTTGATGCTTTACGTTGTTGGAACTTCGTACATCTACTTAGTCTCATTTAAAAAAAAAAAACTTGCTGTGCGATTTTTATTGAACTTTGAATATCAGTTAAAAAATCCAAACGTAAATCTAACCTTAAAAAGTTTGAAGTTCAATAAGAAAAAAAAAAAGGTAAAAGAAAAAAATCGTACAGCAATGGATTTTAAGGGATCTTTTACTTGTTATAAAGAGAAAATTTCAATTTTCAAGCTACCAAAAAGAAAAAGAATTTTTTTCCCATTCTTCTCTTCTTGTAGACGTTTTCAAAGCTAAAAGCATTTTTACATTCCCATCCGCTAAAAAAA